TCCTCAGAGGGCCTGTCAGACACTGAGTGGCTGGCTGTACCCATGGACTCAGGCCTGTGAATCTGCCCCAGGGTTTTTGCTTCCTCATGTCGCATGCTAGGCGATGAGGTCTCCCGCTCCTGTGCTACACAGCCCCCCATCCTGGCCAGACCCCACATCCAACTGGAATGAGTCAAAGACTGTGGGACTTACCCTGCACAGGAGGGCACTCCCCCACTTCTTGAGAAACAGCCTAGGAAAGACAGCAGGCTAGAACAATAGGGTTAGAAGTATCTGAACTGCTCTCACTTTAAGGCAGGGCTTCCCAAACAGGTCTGTCCTCTGCAAACCTCTAGGGGTGTGGCTTGCATTCTGATAAAGGGTGACAGGAGAGGGCCACCTCCTGAACTACCCCTACTGGCCACCAGAATTCAGTATACAGTGCAGCAGGTGAGGATTAGAGCAACCGCCTGCCCTCCTCTGTGCCCAGCACTTCTTGCACCTTAGCTTTCAACAACAGCCAGGCAAATGACTCGGTGGCTTCCAGTCCCACCAGTGAGTGACTTGGAAAAAGAATTCCACCTCATCCGTAAAATGGGCTATAATGTCTATTTCCTTGGAAGGTTGTAGTGAGAAGTGAATAAAGTGGTCCCCAAAAAGCTTCTGGGTCATGCCTATGCAGTAAAAATGTTTACTAGAGTTACTATGGGGGTTCTTTGGGATGCTGCCCAGGCTACCTTTGAACTGGTGAACTCATGAACTCCTCCTGGACTACAGGTGCATGTCACTATTGCTGTTGCTCTCAGAACAGAAGGCCTGAAAAATCCCTTTATAACATGGAGGGAGGTCCAGAGAGCTGATGTGACTTGATGTTATAGGACCTGGAGGGAAGATAGACCCAGATATGACTTGCCTCTATGCCAAGCACTCCCTAAGACAACAGGTCTCCTGGGCCTCACTGCATCCACAGGCCTCTGCAAGTACCCCTGGCAGGTCATACTCAGAAGCCTCTACTATTTCAGGTGCTAAGGAAATACTGGAGCCCAGTTTTGGGTATGAGTACCTGGGGCCAAAACAGCCTTGAAGACTGGTCATGACCTGCCATGAACACCCGCTGTGTTAAGAAATGGAGGTGTAAGCCCCAGTTGCAGACAATCTGCTGTAGATCCAGGGGAACGGGGGGGGGGGGGCTGGCCTTGCCCAGGCGGCGAAGGGGACCCAACGAAGGCAAGCTGTCTTGCCCCAAATCAGAAGTCAGGAAGGCAGCCAGTTGATGCCAGGATTCTGCCACACCACCTGGGCTGCTGGGCAGCACAACTGTCATGCTGACTGTCACAGAGGGCACAGGTTTGACAGCTGCACCTCTGCATTGGGGTAGCTTGTGAAACCATGGAGTTTTACAGTCACTTTTACACTGGAGGAATGTCACACCATGCATGTGGCTAGAATGCAACAAATAATTTAATTTTGAGATTTCAAGCCCTCAAGAGACAAAAGAGAACTTCCTGCAAAGCAGAGGTGTAGCTGAAACACACCTGGAGAGCCCAGAACATCTGCGGTGGGGTCACAGCCCTTCCAGAAACATCCATCCCATGACTCTTTCACAAGAGAAGGAAGGTGAAGTCCATCACTCACACACACACACACACACACACACACACACACAAGACAGATCCGACAGACTGACAGACGGAAACACTAAAACATAAATATCCACCTTGGTTTTGGAGGGAGCTCTACTCCACTCCCCTGGCTTCATTTACCAAAGATGGAGACTGAGCTGGAGCTACGGGTGCCTTTCTGGTCAGTGTCCCCAGCATAGTCTTCAGGCTTCACCAAGCCTGAGCACCCAGGGAGCTTCTGCCGTGTGTATGCTCAGGTTGGGGTCAGGGCCAGACACGGAAAGAGCCCTCGGAGTAAAGAGGCAGAGACGCAGTGGCAAGGTGGAGTAGACGGAGCATGGGTCAGCATGCCACTGACTTCAGTTTCAGTCCTGGTGCTGTGCTGCCACTTACACAACTTCAGGCACACGTGACCACGTCCCTTTGAGCCTGGTCTGGTTAGCACGCAGGCTGGGGTGGGAGCGAATGCAGAGACCTGGTAGACTTCCTAGCACTAAGGATGTTCATGGAGGATCAGGGATTGGGAAGGTGGGGGAAGCTGAGCCACCAGCTCCTCAGGGCCCAGCTCATGTCTCTCTGAGAAGCAGGGCAATTACAAGGGGAGCGTAGTGGAGGAAATGGAGTGCAAGGCTGGGGAGGACCTAGGAAAACCCTCAGGTCAAATGGGCACCAGGAGCTTGACAAGGAACTCAGAACCTGCCAAACAGCACCCCACATACTCCAGCTGCCAGGCTTGACGTGCCCCACTATAAAATCCCTGCTGATGCTGGGTATGGAGGTACACACCTGTAATCGTAGCACTTGGGTGGTAGAGGCAGGAAGAGCAGGAGTTCAAGGCCAGCCTGGGCTACGCTACATGAGATCCCATTTCAAAAACAGAGGATCTCCAGACCTAGACACTGGGAACCCTTACCCCTTCCCTTCCAACTCTTGGGATTTATGTCTGGAAGGAAGGCTCTGCAACCAGGACAAAAGTGGTTTGAGTACTGTAAGGATAGAGTCATGGCTAACTCATGACTCAAGCGTCTGTATGGGGAGACAGGCACATCTAGCAACCCAATTCCACTCAAATGTTACACTTCTCCCCAACCTGCACATGGGCCCCAGCTCAAGCAGGTAGCAGAAGCAGAAACTGGCAGGGCAAACCTCAGGCCAGCATGTGTCGGCTCATCTGCACACTGTTTCCAAGCAGAGAAGGAATTCCCATCTCACACAGGCACTTCCCACTGCCCAGCACAGCCTCCCCTCTCCTGGGAAAGAGTTCCTCAACAACCAACAGGAAGCTCCCACAGGGCAGGGAGTCACTGCTGACCTTGTTCCCATAAACAAAAGAGTACAACAGCACCACACAGCAGGCCTTTTCCACCTTCCTCTCTCAAGTCAAGAAGCCACACAGCCAGCAGGGCCAGAGCAGGGCCCCAGGGGTGCTGCAGCAGGAATGTGCTTTCTGTCTGCCAGGCTCAGCAGCCTGTCTGCATCTGTCCTGTGAAAGGGCTCTAGACGCCGGCTTCTCTTCCAAGAAACAAGAGAGCTAAAGCAGGCAGCTCCAAAGTGACCTGACTTTGATGAAGTAGGCACCAGAGAGGAGATGTGGTGGGGGTCTCTCCCATTTATCCCAGTTTCTGAAGATGGGGCGAGGATTTCACCTTCTATGACATTAAAATCTAAACAATATGATGGAGCACATCTACAAATCCAGCCCTCTAGAGTCTGAGGTAAAAGAATGGAATTGGGGCCAAAGAGATGGCTCAGGAGTTAGGATCACTTGTTTCTCTCTCTCTCTCTTTCTCTCTCTCTCTCTCTGTAATAAAAACAATCTCACAGAATTTACTGTCACCTGATAATAACATAAGGGCCACTAAAACAACATGAATAAATGTTTTGGACTATGCTCCTAACAGAAGACACCTTTAAAAACACTGCACTTCCTCTTCAACTTCTCAAGCGCCTGAAGGTCTCTAGTTGGAAACACTTTGGAGCAGCGTAATATTATCTCCTTTCAGCATGATCTGACCCAATTGTTTCCTTGACTTTGTTTTAGAATGAATCTCTTCTGCATCATCTAATACGAGGTTCATGTACTCATCAAAGCCAATAATACAACCTTTATCCGCATATTCACTTGCTCATACAGCCAGACCTGAATCCCAGACCTGTTCTGCAAGTATCTGAAGATGAGGTTGATGGGCTGCACCATCACTTTCTGCACCTCTGGCCCTGGCCGCAATATGCCATGGTGCACTTGTTTCTCTTGCAGAAGACCCAGGTTTGATCCCTAATACACACACTGACACAGAATACTTTCTGAGACACACTCTGCTAAGTTCTCGAAAAGGTTCTAAAGGGAGGGACATGTTACTGTCATCACCACCTGTTTGGGAGGACTGCTAGGAATCTGATCTTTATGCTAACAACATCAATGAACTCCCTGCACCCTATTTTCAGTTGCTTTTTGCTTTTGTTGCTATTTTTGAGACCACGTCTCTCTATGTAGCCCTGGCTGTCCTGGAACTTGCAACCTTCAGGTTGAACAATTTATGTCTCTGGGTTTTTATTAATTGTGCAAAACAGGTCTGTAATCCTGGCACTCAGGAGGCAGGAGACCATCCTCAGCTACCTACCAAGTCTGAGCTATACAAACACCTTGCCTCAAAAAGCAGAAAAAAAAAAAGAAAAGAAAAGAAAAACTGTCTACAAAGAAGACCTAGCAGGGACCTCCACCTCCAACAGACAGGTATGTGACCACATCAGCACGAGGACTGGTCAGCCCATCATGCTCAAGGTTCTCAAAGTCCTGCAGCAGCTGTAGAATTATCTAACTTCTGGGACCAAAAGGGTCATGTCCAAAGAAACACATCTTGGGAAATGTGTTCTATCCACACTAATAAGATCTGTGGGGAGAAAGACAATCAGAGGCTCAGTGCAATAGCACTGGGTTCAAAGAATACACCAGCTGGGCCTGCTCACAGGTCTGACCTGGCAAGTTAGCAAGACCCTACCTGAACATAAAAGTGAAACAAGGACTGGGGATAAAGTTTGGGGGCGAGGGCTAGCAGTGCTTGCCTTGCACACAAAGAGCTGGGGTCCTATCCCAGCACTGCATTACCCCAGACTGGTGGTGTGTGCTTATAATCCCAGTACTGGGAGATGCAGGCAGGAAGATCAGTAGTTCAAGGTCAACCTCAGAAGTCCAGGAAGTCACTTAAAGATAGAGCACTTCTCTAACAAGTACGAGGCCCTGGATTCAATTCCCACTACCAAAACAAAAACACCAAGGCAGAGCAAGCAGGGAACACTCAGATGCCTGGATCCTATAGGACTAAGGACTATGAAAATGGAGGCACGGGCCATGCTCTCTGCCTGGGAGAGGCAGTATAGAAAGTTTGAAGAGGGCCTTACCCTGAGGTGGCTCTGCTATCTTTGCGTTGGCTGCTGGTGCTGAGGCTGGTCCCTGTCTGGATGCACAGGGTCCTGGCATTCCTTTTGCTCCATGGACGCTGCTGCTGCCCTAGGAAGTTAAGAGCTACAGTCAATAGATATATCTGTAGGTTTCAGAAATACTTTCACCGGGCCACTGTTTTTAGAGAGCCTGGGGATACTGCCAGGGCCTATAAGGGGCTCCAGGGCAATGGGAGCACCTGCTGCACAGACCCTGGTCTCCAAAGAGCCCCCAAGGCAGCAATTTCAATCTGGAGGCCTGGCCCTTGCTGGAGATCAGGCCCAACCCAGCCCAGCCCAGCCCAGCCCTGAGGGGTTGGTTGGTACAGACTCCTAGAAGAGCAGGTTTCTGGTGACCCCTGGGCATGAGGAGTAGAAGAATGACCCATGCTGGAGACAGAGCATGTATTCACTGGCAGGAGAGAAGAGGTGGGCAAGACGCTACAAGCTAGTTTTTGGTCACAACTAACCCTGGAGGTGGGAAGTAGAGAGAGAGGAGTGGCAAGGGGTGAGCCAGGCCAGACAAGAATTGCCACTCAAACGTAACTCTCCACAGTGAGCAAGCACTCAACTACCCACGGGGCACTGTGCTCTGCACAGCTTACCAGAGACAAGGTGGCAGTGTGAGAGAGGAGTGTGGGTGCCACTCCAGACTTAGAAGACAGTAAAAGCAGCCCAGGACGGGAGTGTGGCCCAGCTGTGAAGGAATTAAATTATTAGTAGGAGTTATCCAGGAAGGAACCAGCAGACAGCAGGACCTAAATAGGTCTAAGAGGGGTTGGGGAGCACCTGTCAACTTGTGGGCATGAGGTCAAACACAGTCTTCCAAGCCACAGGAAGACAAGACAGGCAAGCACCCAGCAACCTACATGTGACCATGCAGTAAAGCACCCAGAGCCAGGAAGGAGCAGAGGCCACCCAGGCCACCTGTGCCGCACCCTCTGTCTCAGACAGGGCTGGGATACTGCTGATGCTGGACAGTAGCTTGCCCACTTCACGGTCATGACTAAGGTAGGACTCTGGACTCACTGACATTTCTAATCCCTTCTTGAAGGACATGTACCCTGGGCAGCCTGCTCACTAACTGCAGGCTCCCTCCTCGTTCCTCTGAACTGTATTAGGACCACTACTGTCTATATTCAATGTCTGCATTTATTCCTCCTGAGTTATCAGTTATGCTGGTCAACCTGTGCCTCGGTGTCTCAACGGAAAAACATGGAATCATTTACAGTCTCAGGTGAGTGTGCTGGGAACTCTTCCAGGCAGCACGCTGGGGTTCTGCCCCGTTAGGATGATTCTCAGGAGCCCACACCATCCACAAAGGTCACTCAAATTTGCAAGGAAACTTCATCCTAGCAAGTATGCCTTCGGCACAGAGAACAAATATGTGAGGCTGACTTGGGGTGGGTGGTGGAGGGGATGTCAAATGCTTCTCCGGTCTCTGCTCTTGTATACCATCCTCAAAACAAAGCGGAGCATTGGACCCCATCACACACGCTCCAGGAAGTCGTCCTCCAGCCTCCGGCGCTACTCCTCTGTCCTTGCCTGCTCCAGACAGCCACAGAGAGCATGACCTTCATCAAGGAAACAGCGTGAATGGCCTAGCCCACTGGCACCATCCCTGGGCTTCTGAATACACTCCCACTCTCCTACCCCCAACAGCCAACCTATTCTTTCTGCAGTGTCTGTCTGTCTGTCTGTCTGCTGGTGTGCCTGCTCCAGAGGGCAGAACACAAACGGCAGGGTTAAAGGTACCACTGACACACTTGCAAAGTAGAAAAGAACCTTGGAGCCTCTGGCTACTCATTTCTGTCTCCAAGATTCAGCGCCCAAGGTCCCCTGTCCTCAGAACACCCTCTCCCCCTTCCACACCTCATTCTTAAAGGTATCCTAGTGGACAGGGGAAGAGGAGGCAGTGTAAGAGCGGCTGCCCTACAACTACCACTGTCAGCCGGTTTCCATCAGGAAAAGGCTAACACTCATCCCTCATTCAATCCGCGTGTCCTTCCCAGAAAAGACAGTGATTGCATCAGAAGAGAATCAGCCCAGCTTGGTTCACTCCAGTCCTAAGGAAGGGGAGGAATCCTCACCAAAGCAGGTTCAAGAACCCAGGGCTCAAGCAGAGCTGGGTGGCCCAGCACCCAGGAGGCAGAGGCAGACTAATCTGTGAGTTCGAGGCTAGCCTGGTCTACATAGAGTTAAAGAACAGCCAAGGCTACATAGTGAGACCCTGTTTCAAAATACAAACAATAACAACAACAACAAAACCCAAAAAACAGCTCTCTGAGCTGTTCCTTCAGCCTGGGAGCATCTTTGCTGACCACCGGCTCACCCACACCTTCATGGATCTGATACTCCTTCCCGCCAGTGGATGCACAAGACAGGGGCAGAACCAACTGAGTTTCACATCAAGAACCGGTCGTTCGGGGAACCCCAGTCCAAAGACCGAGGTCCCTAAAGCCGGTGATCCTGTCCCCATGGCTGAGAACTGTCTCGCAGATCAGGAAGAGGGAGGGGTCCAAGGAAAGAGACTGGCGCCGG